GCAGCGGAAGTGCCCAGGTGGAAAATTCGAGAGGGGGCTAGGTTTCGTACGCGGAACCCAAAATTTCAGGGCAGACTAGCAGAGATCATTTGAGAATTCGGGGAGTCAGCTGAGAACGAGATAGCAGAGATCCTTTGTGAATTCGGAAAATCATCTGGGGCAAGCTAGCAGTGATCCTTTAGAAGTTGAATGGCAGGCTAGCAGATATCCTTTAGGATAGGCAGGCTAGCAGAGACTGTTTAGGAAAGAGCAGGCTAGCAGAAATCATTTAGGAAAGGAGAGGCTGGCAGATATTTTTCGGGAAACGGCAGGCTGGCAGAGATTCTTTGAGGTAAAAAAACCCGGAAATGACGAAATCAGGCCTCAAAAGCCGATTTTACTTGGACGACAAAACAACTCTAATTCGCCTCGATCCAAACCAAGTCAATTCAAGCATAGCAAATCCTGTAAAAAGCCCTAAAATCGAGGTTTAAAATCGGATTCCCCTCAAGCGGGTCGAGGGGCCCGGGAGGGCAGCTAATTGGGTGCGAGAATCATGTGGGAAGGAAGGCCGGATCCCCTTCCCCCGGCAGCTCAGGCTCATTTTTGAGGCGAGCGAGCACGAGAAATTGAGAGAAACGAGGGATATAGAGAGACGAAGGCCATTGGGGAGGGCCCAGAGCCTTGGGCCCTCTTTCCCCGTGGGCCCTTGGGGCCCATGGGAAGAACCGGGCCCTAGGGGGAGGGCCCAGACGAGAGCACTTTTTAGGGGGCCACCCTGTATCTTCGTCTGGGCCTCATCCCTGGACCCGCCGTTTCGGCGGAAGCCCATAAAAAACAACTGCGAAATCTGACTAGCAAGCGGTCGAGAAAATCTCTCTTTCTCTCTCTCTCACTCTCTCTCTCTCTCTCTCTCTTTTCTGCAGGCCCTTTGTCCTTCAAAGCAAAAATTTTTAGGAGGCAAGCCAGCAGAATTTCTTTGGGAAATTGGGGGTCAGCTAACAAACGTTTAGGAAAAAAGGTAACTAGTAGGGAAAGAGGAAACAAGCTGACAGCGATTCTTTAAGGAATCCAGAGAGGCCGTCTGGCAAAGGTTTTTAAGGAAACCTCAGAGAGATAGCCGGGATTCCTTGGGAAATGGGGCAGACTAGCGGGGATTTTCGGGGAAACGAGTGGCAGGCTAGCAGAGATCATTTGGGAATGGATGGGGCAGGCTAGCAGAGATTTATACGGAATAGGGACAGGCTATTAGTAATTCCAAAGGGAAATCAGGGAAAGCTAGCTGAGATTATTTAAAGATGAGAGAAAATGAAAGATAATAAGGGAGGGCGAGAGAGACAAATAGAGAGAAACACAATTCCGCACAAAATTCCAAGTTGAAGCTTGCGCCCAAGAATCCACGAACACGTCTCGCCCCCGCCGGCCAAATTCGATTTGGGCCCCTCGGCTGGCCCGCTAAAAATCCTAAACGGGCCTCCCCCCAGCAAATTAGGCGGCCCAACATTGGCATTCGATGCGCGCACAGCCCAAAAAAGGCTAAAAATTCACCTCGACTCTTTGGCTGCCGAGTCTCCTGCCTTTTTCAGGGTCAAAAGCGTCACGTCGCCCCCAGTGCGCCGGACCTGTCACTTTTTATGCCAATTTTTTTTTGGGGGGGGTTAGCAATGAAAAGAAGAGCCCTTGGTGGAGAGAGAGAGAGCGAGAGAGAGAGAGAGAGAGAGAGAGAGAGAGAGAGAGAGAGAAATACAGCGAGAAAAATGGGAGCTAGAGAGATACAGAGATTGGAAATTTCGCTCGAAAATGCTACAATCAGAGCTCCCGAACGTTTAAAAAACTTTGCACCTAAAAAAAATACAACAAAAAGTTCGAAACTCGGCTCGCAAATGCTAACATTAAGCGCTCGAAGGTTATACAATCGTTTAAACATTCTAAAAAATTAAAAAAGTTCAAAATTCTGCTCAAAAATGCTAGAATAAAGTTCATGAAGTGGCTCGGCCAGCTTTTTATCGCAAAACTGATAGATTTGATGCCAAGAAGCGTTACAAAATAGCAAGGAACGGTTAAAAGCTGTTAAAACGGTAAAAATGAGAAGAAAAACTGTATTTTTCCTGCTAAAACTTGAACGCATGGAAATTGTCCCACGAAACCGCGGCAACAACAACGCAAATTATCAACACCTGTGTCTGTTGACGGATGGAAACGCGGCAATTCTCCATCTCGCTCCCCTCCCCCGGCTCTTGCTCCTCCATTTCCCGGGCGTTGATCGAGCGCTTTGCACTATCCGCTGAACGGAGAACCACAAAAAGTGCAACCTTGACTAATCGCGCACATCACTGATTCAGAAAATTGCAAAAAGCAAAAAGGATTTGCCGCCAGCAGGGGTCGAACCTGCGACCTTGGGCTTATTAGACCCACGCTCTAACCAACTGAGCTATGGCGGCGGTGTGGAGGGGAGGAGGGACATGGGCTATCAGGCCTGGGCCATGTCCTTGCACCAATTACTAAGTCAAAATCGCAAAAAGCAAAAAGAATTTGCCGCCAGCAGGGGTCGAACCTGCGACCTTGGGCTTATTAGACCCACGCTCTAACCAACTGAGCTATGGCGGCACTGGGGAGGGAAGGGGAGAGAGGGGTGATGGGGTTTGGGGGCCATCCCGAAATTGACAGGCCGTGGCAGCAGTTTTGTCTGGATTGACTGACATTAGCCATCGGAAAACGGAAATGCCTGAATTTTCCAAGTTCGTTTCCTCGTAAACATCGAAAAATGTATATTATGCAAATTTCCGCTAGGACTCGCTAACAAAAGTCATATTAAAGTGAAATCGAGGTTCGTTTCCGGTATTCCTGGGAAAACTGATGAAAGCGGCAGAAAAACGTGTCTTTTTCTTAAGTTTGTTTTCTCAAAATAAATTCGATGAAGCGTAGTTTATTTCAGAATGACTTTCGACGATATTAGAATGAATCTTTCAAAAATATCGCCGCATTCTTCCAAAATAATGCCGCGAAACGCCCGCAAAAACCTATTTCCTATCTTTTTTTTGGCCTCAAAGCTCGTGAATAAAGCTTATTTTTTGCCGAAACTGCCGCAAGCCGATCACCTCTTTGATAAAAAACACCAATAAAATCATTTCGATGTGTACGCTCTGTAAAAAGTGGAGTTCTTTCGCATCATCGAGGGGAGGGGGAAAATTTTTTTCTGAGGATCCAACTTTCCAAATATAAATAGAGGAAGTATTTTTAAATTGCTTTTACTAGTCCTAAACACAAAACCTTTACAAATATTCTTAAAAAAGAACACCGTTTTTCGCTCAAATTTCGACGTTCAAAATTTGTTTGGAAGCTTTTTCTGGCCGAAATATGCTTTTGTTTTACCAAGAATAAGTTTCTAGGCTTTTCTAGGCTTATACAAAAAACTGCCCACCAGATAATGCGAAAGAAGAAAAAATGGCAAAAGCCCCAGGTTCGTAGAGGTTTCTAAAATTTCAAGCCTTGAAGCAAAACACAAGCTTCTACTCTCTTTGAAACAATTCGTAACAAGTGAGTTCTGCGGCTTCTCCGTGGTCTTCAGAAGAATATTTCCGGCGTGTGCTTCGAGACGGGTCCGACTCGACACCTCTCCCCAGGGGGCCCTCCGGCTTTTCAGAAGATTCATGGCGTTGCCCTTGGCTTTTCGCCGGGCTATTTTTCTGAGCAAAATTTAGTGCTATTTTCGCGTCTTGGCGAAGCTGTTATAGCTGCTGGGCGTATGTGGAAGAATGTGAAAATGCCAGAAAAAGATGGGCGCTGTAAAAATCGGCTAACAAGGCACCGCCAAATCAGAAATTGGAGATTGGATAAACCGTAATAAAAATTGGCACTGAACTGGAAATTTACAAAATTAAAGATTTTACAGGTTTACCAGCGCTCCCGGGGGAAATTAATCCCCTGGCGAGAGGGTTTGGGTCGCGTACACGTTCGGACCCATGGGGCTATGAGATCTGCTTAAAAATCGGAAACCCCGAACGTCCGTTCCGCGCTACACTAAATGACGCGGGTCCCGCAGCGAGGACGGACGGGCGGCGGACGGGCGGTGGGCGGGCTCACGGACATTAGAAATTTATATAAAGTGAAAGTGATGATAAAAGTGATTCAACAACTTTGTTAAATCTGATCGTAATTCCCTCGATCGATTACGAAATTTAAGAAATGTAGGGGGATAAAGTTTTTATCACTTTTGACAAGGATTGTAACTTCCAGAATTTCGTAGCTTTATAAAGTGCAATGTGGGGTTCTTTAGAAAAGCTGAAAAGCTGCGGAGGGCGGAAATTGCAATAAAAGGAGGCCTCTAGCGCAACTTTAGTAAAAAGAATAATACATTATAATTACAGTACTTTTTCTATACTTTATAGATTTGTAAAGCATCGAAAAAGTACTTTAAAGTGTAATTTAAAGTTGTTCAGCGTTATTTGACTAGCCAACGTTGTGGCAACAGTAAAACTTTCTGCATTTTCTGGCAATTTGTAAAGCGCGCGCTATTCGCCTCCACGTTTTCCATTTTTTTTTTTGCTTTATCTTTTTTGGTCTCAGGTTTTCGTAGTTTTCAACCATTTGCTATCAGTTTGTCGAAATATAAATGCGTTGAAATCCCCATTTGCGAAATGATAAAGATGAATAATCGACGCGAAAAACGCATTGCAATTTCGACAAACTGATAATGAGCCGTTTTTTTCTTCACGTTTTCAATGATTTTTGTGTTTAGTAATAAATAACTATCATAGTCTGCAAAAACTATTGAAAAACTATAAGGAATTTAAAAAAGCCGATATTTTGGTCAATTTCGGCCATCTTTGGTCGAAAAACTATTTTCCATCTTTATTAACAACAGTTTATAAAGTTGTTACGTTTCTTACCCTTAATAAGTTTTATGATATGCTAAGAAAGCGGTTTCTACGCTTTAGGGCTTTATTTTGCTATCAAAATAGTTTTTCTGCCTCTTTATTACCCTTTTTTCAGTTTCCGAAGAACAAAGCACGCAGCCGATGATGAGCCTGCCGCCGCGCTTCCAATTCAGCACCCCGCAGCTCACATATCGCCTCGCCAGTGAGGGCACGTCGTTGAAACGCTTTTTGTGGAAGTAAGTTGGTTTCAAATTGCAAATTTCAACATGTAAATCGGTGGTTCTTTCGTATTATCGGGGGGAGGGCGAACTTTTTTTTAGATCAGGCTCCAGTTTTTCGGAGATAAACATCGGAAGTGTTTCTAAACTGTTTTTCACAACTCCTGAGCGGAAAATCTTTACCAATTTTTATTTAGAAAAATAAAAAAAATCGTGGTTTTGTCGAGCTAAAATGGCCCGTATGATGAAAATTTCGGTTTTTGAAGTGTGAAAATATTTGTTCGTTTTTCGACTCGTACAAAAAAAAAATCGGTTCCTTCGATAATGCGAAAGTACCTAAAGCCATGAAGAACGTTCTTTCTTTAATTACCGGCTCAGAAAATGTCTATTTTAAACCTTTTAAAATTTAAAATTTAGGAATTTAAATTAAAGAAGATAATATTGTACATTTGAAATTTGTTTTCCAGGATAGACGACTCCCCGCAATCGATCCTCATCATCCGCTCGGCGGCCGGCGACGTGTTCGGCGAGTACTGCAGCGCATCGTGGGCCACCCGAAAAGAAGGGTTGCAGGGTCATTCAAAGTAAGATTTTTCTATAGTATGATCATTTTTCTAGATATTTCGGGCCCGGGGAGACGTTCGTCTTCCGCATCGATGACAAGAACCCTTTCGGGATGCCGGTTTGCAATTTTAGCATCTTGAATAATGCTTACAATTAAAGATCGTCTACAATTCGACCGGCTACTACGGTGCGGGTGACACAAATGACGACAACCCAGGTATGCTGCTTTTTCCGTATGTCGAGCGTTGTTTAGGTCTTTCCAAGAAGAAGGCAGCATGGCCGTGGCCATTGGAGAAGAGAACGTGGCTCGAGCTGACGTGCACCTATCGAAGAGATTTGGCGAGGTAAAAATTTTTGTCGTTTGGCGATTCGGCCCAGCATGAGGTGAACACAGCATGCAATCAAAAAAAAAAGCGGAAGGGGACAGGCTTACTGTATTTTTTTTTCAGGCCGCCTTCCCTCCACACACTGGCGGCGCGAGCAACTCCAAAAGACCAACGATACGTCTACATTACGGTCACATGTACCAGTACGTATTGTGCGACCGTGGAACACGAAGCAAGTTTTCGGTTTCTAGTTATTTGCTTTTTTTTAGTTGGCCGGTATTTTCACGGAATTTGACATATACAACATCAGAGAGTGGCGACCCCTATTGTATGTTTTCCTAGTTGAGCGATATTGGTGATGTTTAGGGACTGGGAATTATTTTGCTGCGCGCGATTGTCCACTGGAGGCCAGGCAGCCGAGCTCGGCCGTTTTGAGCTCCGCGCCCAGGGCGCCTACAACTGGTGCTGGTGCACAGCCAATTTGGTACGTTGCGTTTTCATAGAAAAAAATTTGAACTTGAGTTTAGCATCCGACTTATCAGTGGTAAATAAAAGTAAAAAATCTCTCTAACTATCCTTTCGTGTATCTAGCTTTACTCAGAATCGGCGTCCGTTGAAACATCCGCTTATTTGCCTTGAAGTGGAAGATGAAGGTCGCCGGCCGATCTGGTCTAACTGCCGAGTAAGTTAGGCTTAAACACAAACGTTATAAAAAAACTTAAGATGTAGTATATAATGTAATAGGGGTATGAAATAAAAACCTAAAGTAAATGAGTTATGTGCCTTTTTGCAGCAGGAAGGCGTTGCCAACATCCGGCGAACAACACTTAGGAGAGAAGAGGTTTATCTGTTTCCAAAAAGCACAACTTTGTTTAGAATATCGAAATACCGAGGAAAGAAGTGTGGGTCTACTACACCGGATGGACGGCGGCCGGCGCAGCTGAGGAGCTTTTTGAAGCAGATACGACCCCGATCGGCAATGAGGATGGGTCGGAAAAGGTAAGCTCAGCTGTCTCCATCTATGCATTTGTCTTTCAGCTTTCTCAGAAAATATCCATTCCTTTAAAGAAAGTATACTTGAGCCGCAATTTTCTCATAGTGGCTCTATAGCTTGTTACTGAACACGACTCAAACAGCACGTTAGCCCTCCGAAATACCACTTTTCACAAAGTCGCCAACAAAAACCGCCTTGGTTTTGATAGTTTCTAAATTCGGTTCTCTTAGTGCTTGGTAGAATCACCGTGTTCCATTCTACCAAGTTGGAACAAGCTTTTTTTTACGGTTCGCTTTAGTTTTAAAGTCATAAGACTTAAAAGTTTTGATTCCACTCATTTTTGGGTCGATAGGAGTGCCGCGTTGCTTAGGGCCCTATTGCAAACAATCCAGTACGGAAAACATTCTTTCAGCTCGCACCCAACGCGCCAAAACGACCCAGAAGCCGGGCCCTCTTTGAAGATGTCACCAACAAAGAAGACTCGCTCGACTCATTCGACTCGCCGCAAAAGAAGCAAGTACCAAGGAGACGCTCTCCGACATTGATCACGTCGCAAACGGAAGATGCGACCAGCACAGATTCCTTCGACTCCTTTGACTCCTTCGACTCTCCGCCAACAAAGAAAATTCGGATCTCTCCAAAAAAGCGATCGCCGGCCCGGATTTTCCCATTAGGTATTGTATCTCTATTCTAGCAAAGAAGTTCTTTAGAAAGCGGCGTTCCGGGGTTCCCCGCGCTCTACGATTTGGAGGGAGTGACGCTCTCTGTGCAATCGGCGACCGTCTCTGAAGGACAAGCCATTTTGGAGTGAGTTTTTTGTTTAGGATTTTTCTATCTTTGTAATAGCTAATTTTGCGTTTTTTTTAGCTGTATCGACCTGAAGACGCACCAGCAATCATTCGCCTACCTTCAAGACCAATGGGCCGAGCTGGGCATTGTCGCCGGGGATACAATTCGACTTTTTGATGCCAAGCGCTGGCAGGAGAACGTAAAAATTGGCAATCAGTTTTAAAATCTGGACTTTTAGGGCTGGATAGTCGACGCTGAGCATGGAGTGATTATCACGCAACCGGATACACTTGTTTCGGCAACCTCCGTTTCACAGGTAAACTGTTTCAAGGTTTTTTAGTTTTTTTTTCAGGCTCTATTTTGCCAGCGAAAAGCCGTGCTCGGCGACCGATTCCGCGGCGGCAACAGCACCAACAAGGCTATGTTCATGGGCTCGATCATCCATGACCTTTTCCAGGTGTGTTTTTAGAATGCATTTTTCCGATCCTTTCACAATATGTCACGTAGACCAATTTTTCTTAAATAATTAGTTAACAAAAAAAAGTAGTAAAAAGCTTTATAAGTTTTTATAACAAACAATTTATATAGATTTCCGACCAAAATGGATGATTTTTGCCTAAAATTACACATTTGCAGAAAATTCTACGTATTTAGATGGCTTTCCACTTGGAATGACTAAATAATCCTATCCTATAAGCAAGATAACATATATGCCCTAAAACACTTAAATTACTAACTATTACGTCGTTAGGTGTTGGAGAGTAATTAGGTTCCGAGCCCGCCTGATATTGCGAAAAAAACCTTTTCCATTTTCAGACGGCCATCCAGCAGCCCCCGGGCACCGTCAACGGCGAGTGGCTTCTAAAAAGATGGCGCATGTCGATCGACGAAGATCCATCGGCACTCGTCGCTCTCGTCGCTCTCAATTTCTCGCCCAGCACCTTTGAGGCCGAGCTGGACCCCTACGTAAACGTAGGTGCTTTTTTGGAAAACAGGAAACATTCTTTTTCAGATCATCTGCCAGTGGGTGAGGGACAAAATGTCCCAGCGGCGTCCCCTGCCTTCCGGAGCCACCATCACCCGGGTGGCCGATATCGAGGAGAACGTCTGGCTGCCGAAGCTCGGCATCAAGGGCAAGATCGACGCCACGTTTTGCGTACAAGTAAATTTTACTGCAAATTAAACGTAATTTTGTATCAAAGAAAATGCAGACATTGATCTCGAAATCTTTTATTGCAAATTTGGTTATATTTTGGGTGCAAAAAAAACTTTAGAAAACCACAAAAAATGGTTGAAATTCTCAAATTTGGCTTGAATTGGTCTTTTTTATCGAAAATCTGACATTTTGGGCGTTTTTAGCAAATTTTCTGGGGTTTCTACGGTTCAGAATAGTTTTTCGAGATTGAAATGTGTTTTACCTTTATTTACCTACCCGGCAATCGTTTCTTAGACTCTTTGAAAGTAAAAACAAGAATTTAAGATAAATTATTTTTAAGAAAATGAACTTCTAGAAAACGGTGGAAGGACACGCCCTTTTTAGAAAAACGGAACCTCATACTTGGAGCCGCTGGTGCTAAAAACTGGCCGGAGTGGAGCGTCGCACGAACACTCGCTACAGGTATTTTCTGATCACAAAGAATGGGCATCTTTTCAGGTCCTCCTCTACTCGCTGATGCTATCGATCACTGAAGCATCCCCAATTCGACCGGCCTCCCTGCTCTACTTGAAAGACGGCGTGGCCAGGAATATTGAGCCAAAGTAATTTTTCACTTTCATGCTACGATCCTTTTTTAGAGCAATCGACTTGAAGGGTATTCTTTCCGTGAGGAACCGGATCGCCGGCCAGCTGGGGGATATTGCCCGCGAATTGCCCGGTAAATTAATTGCTATGGTTTATTATTGGTTCTTTGGCATTAGTGGGGGGAGGGGTGTCGAGGGAAAATAAATAAATTTTCTCACATAAGTCCAGAAATGCCAAGTAACGTAATAGTTTTTTTTGCTAAAAAAAGGAGCTGTATTTTGGTTGTAAAACATCTGGAAAAAATGGTTAGTTTAGATTTTGCTCGCAAATCGGCCATTTTTGTTAAAAAAGAACATTTTTTGTATTCTTTAATCGAAATGTGTACTTTTTTGCATTAGGAATGGTAAGAAACAGTTTAAAACACTTTTTTATTTGAATTAGAACAATTGGAGCATTAGAAATAAAGTTGGTCCTTTCCCCCTGAATCAGGGCTCCTCTTACCTCCTCCCCCCGCCCAGCCCCGAAAACGCCAAAGAACCATTATTTATCCTCACAACAATTTTATAACGTAACATTTTATTGATTGATAATATAGATATTTTTAGAACCGCTCACCGAGACGAGGCCATGCGGCCGCTGCGAGCACGCGATGGCCTGTTCGTTATATGGTGACTACGGCGGGAATCAGGTAACGTCTTACTTTTTATATAACATTTTTGCTTTAGAAAGTCAGCGCACAGTTTTCGGCTTTTTCCGAGGCGAGCACAGCCTATTTGAAGCCGGCGCATGCTGCGTATTTTAAGGTGCCTGCTGTCGGTTTTTTAGAACCCTTATTTTTTTTAGAAATGGATGCACATGCTGACGCTGGAGCTCAAAACTGCGCAAAGCAAGTCGGCCACCCCGTCGCTGATCTGGACGATGACTCCGGAGGCTCGGTAAAACAAAAAAAAACTTTATCAACATCTATCAAATCTACAGGGAAATGCGTGGCACATGCGTGGGAGATCTGCGACTAGGGCGTGTGGAGAAAGCGGCGGCTGGCGGCCGAAGTCTGCTCGTGTTTGAGAAGTGAGACCAGGAATTTGGAGGCCTGAAATTTTGGGATTTCTCTCTCCTCGCTCTCTCTCTCTCTCTCTCTCTCTCTCTCTCTCTCTCTCTTCGTTTTTATTTTCCCACTTACTATAACGATGAAATCTAGCTGGGACGCATTTGGACGTTCGTTGAGATCGAGTGAAAGCAAGCAAGCATCTTCAATGGTAGCTGGGGGCCCCTGGGGGTATCGGCGGAAAGCCGGGATGCGGTATCGCTTGAAAGCCGTAGAATATCGGCCAGAACGGCGATGGCTGGCTGGGTGCTGGGTTGCTGGTGGCGCTGTTGTTACTGTTGTTGCTGCTGCTCCCTCCGAGCGATTGGCGGCGCGACGCGTTGTGACTCTAGAATTTATTTTATGCGATTCTCCTGCACGATCTCTAAAAAATCCTCCAGCTTCTAAAAATTCGAGTTTCTGATATTTAGAGGTTTTTTATCCTTAGCTTCGGCAAATTCGAGATCCTTGCAATTAGAGGTTAGGAAAATCGATAGTCTGAAAAGTTGGTATTCTGAAAATCCTCGATTTTCAAAATAAAATTTTTTTTATTAAAATAAAAGAATAAAAGATTAAAAATAAAATAGATTAAAAATAAAATCCTCGATTTTCAAAAAAGTTTATATAACGTGTAAAAATTCAAAGTTATCAGAATCTTAAAGCGCCACAAAATCAACAGGAAAAAAATGTTGAAGAACATAGGCAGGCTAAAATTAGAGAAGTAAAGTTTCCTAAAACGCGTAAAAAATCGGATCAGAAGCCTTCCTCCGAAAAACTAATTCCAGGTCGATCAACATCACCACCGGCGCAATCTCTTCCGGCGACATGGTGGCCATCTCCACGAAAAAGCGCTACGGAATCATCACTGGCTTCGTGGCATCGATTAAAGGTGTTTTTATAATGATCCCTATCAATATCTCAATTCAGATAATACCGTCGAAATCACCTCCGATCACACGCTGCCCAGGAAGGGGGAGGAACGCTACTTTGTGAGCTCGACGCTACGATCAACTATAATAATTTTGCTGTGGTGTCTGTCCGTGTGTTTGAAGCCGAATTCAACTCGAAGGGGAAAGGAGCTAGAGCTTAGCTCTCTTCGGATTCGGATAGAGCGTGGTCGGAAACCCCCAAACTGATAAAAAAATTATGAAAAAGTTTTAGTTTAAATTATTAAAATTAACTTTGAAAGTTTTTTCCTTAGTAAAAGGGGTGGGGGCCCCTCTCCCGGGAGGCCACGCCCCCTTTCCCTTCGCCCATCTTCCCCAGGCCCCTTCGCGCGCCCAGATAGCTTTTTTAAAGTTACTTTAATACTTTTTTTAATACTTTTTAATTATGTTAATTAATTATTTAAATCATCTAAAGCCATCAGGAAGGTATTTAGGTAGTTTTTGAAGGGGATTTCAGCCATGGGGGGTATCTAAAGCCATCAGGAAGGTATTTAGGTAGTTTTTGAAGGGGATTTCAGCCATGGGGGGGTATCTGTAGCCATCAGGAAGGTATTTAGGTAGTTTTTGAAGGGGATTTCAGCCATGGGGGGTATCTAAAGCCTTCAGGAAGGTATTTAGGTAGTTTTTGAAGGGGATTTCAGCCATGGGGGGTATCTAAAGCCTTCAGGAAGGTATTTAGGTAGTTTTTGAAGGGGATTTCAGCCATGGGGGGTATCTGAAGCCATCAGGAAGGTATTTAGGTAGTTTTTGAAGGGGATTTCAGCCATGGGGGATATCTAAAGCCTTCAGAAAGGTATTTAGGTAGTTTTTGAAGGGGATTTCAGCCATGGGGGTATCTAAAGCCTTCAGGAAGGTATTTAGGTAGTTTTTGAAGGGATTTCAGCCATGGGGGGTATCTAAAGCCATCAGGAAGGTATTTAGGTAGTTTTTGAAGGGGATTTCAGCCATGGGGGGTATCTGAAGCCATCAGGGAGGTATCGAAGTAGTTTTTGAAGGGGATTTCAGCCATGGGGGTATCTAAAGCCTTCAGGAAGGTATTTAGGTAGTTTTTGAAGGGGATTTTAGCCATGGGGGTATCTAAAGCCATCAGGAAGGTATTTAGGTAGTTTTTGAAGGGGATTTCAGCCATGGGGGGTATCTAAAGCCTTCAGGAAGGTATTTAGGTAGTTTTTGAAGGGGATTTCAGCCATGGGGGGGTATCTAAAGCCTTCAGGAAGGTATTTAGGTAGTTTTTGAAGGGATTTCAGCCATGGGGGGTATCTAAAGCCTTCAGGAAGGTATTTAGGTAGTTTTTGAAGGGGATTTCAGCCATGGGGGGTATCTGAAACCATCAGGGAGGTATCGAAGTAGTTTTTGAAGGGGATTTCAGCCATGGGGGGTATCTAAAGCCTTCAGGAAGGTATGGAAGGATTTCAGCCATGGGGGGTATCTAAAGCCTTCAGAAAGGTATTTAGGTAGTTTTTGAAGGGGATTTCAGCCATGGGGGGTATCTGAAACCATCAGGGAGGTATCGAAGTAGTTTTTGAAGGGGATTTCAGCCATGGGGGGTATCTAAAGCCTTCAGGGAGGTATCGAAGTAGTTTTTGAAGGGGATTTCAGCCATGGGGGGTATCTAAAGCCTTCAGGAAGGTATTTAGGTAGTTTTTGAAGGGGATTTTAGCCATGGGGGGTATCTAAAGCCATCAGGAAGGTATTTAGGTAGTTTTTGAAGGGGATTTCAGCCATGGGGGTATCTAAAGCCTTCAGGAAGGTATTTAGGTAGTTTTTGAAGGGGATTTCAGCCATGGGGGGTATCTAAAGCCTTCAGGAAGGTATTTAGGTAGTTTTTGAAGGGGATTTTAGCCATGGGGGGTATCTAAAGCCATCAGGGAGGTATCGAAGTAGTTTTTGAAGGGGATTTCAGCCATGGGGGGTATCTAAAGCCTTCAGGAAGGTATTTAGGTAGTTTTTGAAGGGGATTTCAGCCATGGGGGGTATCTGAAGCCATCAGGAAGGTATTTAGGTAGTTTTTGAAGGGATTTCAGCCATGGGGGGTATCTAAAGCCTTCAGGAAGGTATTTAGGTAGTTTTTGAAGGGGATTTCAGCCATGGGGGGTATCTAAAGCCTTCAGGAAGGTATTTAGGTAGTTTTTGAAGGGGATTTCAGCCATGGGGGGTATCTAAAGCCTTCAGGAAGGTATTTAGGTAGTTTTTGAAGGGGATTTCAGCCATGGGGGGTATCTGAAACCATCAGGGAGGTATCGAAGTAGTTTTTGAAGGGGATTTCAGCCATGGGGGGTATCTAAAGCCTTCAGGGAGGTATCGAAGTAGTTTTTGAAGGGCATTTCAGCCATGGGGGTATCTAAAGCCATCAGGAAGGTATTTAGGTAGTTTTTGAAGGGGATTTCAGCCATGGGGGGTATCTAAAGCCATCAGGAAGGTATTTAGGTAGTTTTTGAAGGGGATGTCAGCCATGGGGGGTATCTAAAGCTATCAGGGAGGTATCGAAGTAGTTTTTTTAAGTGGATTGCATGAAGGGTAGCCCGAAGGCCAGATGGTTACAGTCGCGAAGCGACTGGAACCATCTGGTTTTCTATATTTTTTTAGATGGACCGCATCGAGTCGTTGTCCACCCACTCGATGCAAATGGCTAACGTGGCCGGGTTTATGCAGGATGAGGCTTTGAGGTAGCGTGCTTGTCACTACGATTAGAAAAAGAACATTATTTTAGAAATGACCTCCGGCGTTTCATCATCGATCTCGACGTGCCGGGGGCCGGAAAAATTACAAAGTCCGATTTGGCAAGGTTGGTTTTCCAAATTTTTTATGTAAAAAATGTTTGATTTTTTGACTGACACTGATTGTTAACACAAAAAATTCTTACAAATGTAAAAAAAAAATTGATTTTTCCGTCAAAAAGTTTTGAAATATGATGCAAATGAAAGATTCTTGCAACTTTCTAAAAATCAAAAAGTGCTGAAAGCACTACAAAAATACATTATGTGTGCGAAAAAAAAGAAAGAATCCGCCAACCCCCGCCCCCGCTAACAGTCCAGTACCGTTTATTTTTCAGAATCAAGCCCCTGCTCTCAAAGCTCAGCCGCGAACAGGCAAGGGCCGTTGTCAAGGCGTTGATCTGCAAAAACTATACGCTTATCGAGGGACTGCCCGGTGCTGGTATGACAATGATCAGTTTCAACTTCAAATACCTTTTAGGTAAAAGCACAACCTTGGCCGCCGTCGTCAAATGCTTCTTGCTGTTCGGGAAGTCAGTGCTCGTCACCTCGCACACTCACTCCGCCGTCGACAACCTCTTCGAGAAATTGCTGGATGTATGAATTTGATAAATCGGCATCATGATCCATGTTTAGGATATCCTTGCCGATGACATGCTGCGGATTGGGAATGTGAAATCGGTGAAGCCAAAGGTTTGCCATAGCAGCGCTGCTTTTACTTGTTTTATTTTTAGGTTTCTCATCTCTGCATCGAGGAGAAGCTGAAATCGATCATCACCGAGCGCTATGAGGCGATGAAGAAGACGCTCACTTCCGTGGTGCGATTTTAATTTCAAATCGTGTACGAATTGTGGAAAAATGTTTTTTTTTTCGTTTTTACAGCGCGTCTTTTAGGAAGTCGTCGGGGCAATGTGTCTATCCGTGTGCTCACATCCGCTGTTCTCCTTCCGGCGTTTTGACGTCTGTCTGGTGGATGAAGCCTCGCTAGCCGTCGAATCAACATTGTTGGCACCGCTTTCTGTAGGGTGATTCGGCGGTTTTTACCTACTTATATTTAGGCCTGCGCCCGCTTCGTGCTTGTCGGTGACGCCAAGCAGCTCGCCCCCTTGGTGCAAAGCCGCGAGGCAAAGTATGTATCGGTTCAAAAACAGTACTTTACTTTTTAGGGAGCTCGGCATGGACGTATCCCTATTCGAGCGACTGCAGGTGCACAAGGAGTCCCAGGCCAGCCTCACTTCGCAGTATCGCATGAATAGGTTTGGGTTTTTTTGCGAAGTCGTATTATCACCTCAGCCGCATTGCCGTGCTCGCCTCCAAACTGTTCTACGGTGGCCTGTTGAGATGCGCGACCGACGAGGTGGCCGATGGTCGTCTACAGATCTCGGAAAACCACGGAAATGGTGAGGAATTAAAACCCGATTTAAGTTTTTTTCAGCGTCTATCTCCCTCGTTTTCCCGCCGCTCCTCGCGCATTCTGTCGTGTTTGTCGACACCGATTCGGCTGGAAATGATGATGCAACGGTAGGGAAATTTTATAATTCTGATCCCAGTTCTTCTAGATGTCGATGGAAGGCCGCGGAGCCACCAGCAACGTCTACGAAGCGGCGATCCACAGCAAGATTAATTCGTAACCTGATATTTTTATATGCCCATTGATTCTTTGTACATTCGCGCCGGTGGTTTTGATATATATGATACTTGGCTACTGTATGTTCAATTGTCATAAAGCTATTCCCACTTTTTAGGTTATTCCAGTTTCGCTGGAAATATCGTCGCCGATCGTGGGTTACGTACAGGCTGGGCCTGAAAAAGCCAAGTTAGGCTAAATATTTTTGACGACTCGTTAGAATTTTTTAAAATGTTGAAAAAATAGAAAACGTTGAGGCGATGAAGTACGAAACTTTTTATTGGTTAAGGGATAAAGGGCATCAAAATGAAGGTCTCGGAGTGCGCTCCGAAACCAGTGATAAAGTATATCGATCCACTTAACTAGCCGTCAATCGGAGGGGCTTTGACGCGGCCAGACGGGCACAACTTCTTAAATTTAAAGTAGCGAAACGGCCTTTCAACGGTTATAAATACTGAAAACTGTCTAGAAAACTTCTTCTATTTCTATTAGAAAATTGATAAAATCACTATAAGGGTCTCATTCCTTCATGCCTTAAAAATAATGCGCATAGTTTTTATAGGTTAGCAGCGCGGAGGAAATTTTGTACCCGATCGGATAAAAGCCGGCCAAATGACGAGGGTATAGAGGCCAAACGATGCGAAAAGTATGTGAGCCACCGCATCTTCCAGGTTGCCGAACCGGAAAAAACCCACCGTTTCTACAGTATCCAGGCATATGGGCAGGAACTATTTTCATATATCGTTTTTTTTTCTGCGGCTGGTAATTAGTAGCCTGATCCTTTCCTATGGGACCAGTAGTGCCTAGTTACGTAATAGTAAGCATTTAAGCGTGTTTTTAGCAAAATGTAACTATAATTCAGGTGTGAAAGCAATTTCAAAATCTCGAAAAAGTAACAACCTTTGAATAAAAAAAGTTACACGATTTAAAGTTTTCTGGCATGGCTGCATAAGGCTTCCCCGTAACCCCGTCATCATGGCCGAGCGTGGCCGAGCGCTGTAGTAGGCGGCGTCTGTAGAATCTAAGGGGGGTTCGAACCAACTCACCATTGTTATTTTTGCTTTTTACTCCGAAGGCTCGTCATTGCTCTCTGAAGGCCTGTCTGACTTTTTGTGCATGTTATACACCAAGGAGCGATGTCCGCCGGAAACCATTCCCTAGTGAGCCGCAACGCTGGTCACGCTTCGATAAAAAAACGGCCTCGACATGCAATTCGAAAAAAATTTATTGAGAAGTGAAAGAACGAAGGAAGGAAAAGTGAAAGGTATCAATTCTGAGATTGCAGCTTGCCGAGCCGTGCGAAACCATCACAGGCTCTAGATTTTGGGCAGCGAATTGTTACTGAGCGCTTGAATCGGCCATCTGTTAGTTAAATTAAAGAACCACTCCCGGTGCTTCTTCACGTGTCGTAACGCCGTGTTGTCGGGCTCGCAATTTTGCGCGAGTATAATTGCAACCCGGGCGGAGCGACCACGACAGTGCGGTGGAATGGTCGACTCGTCCTGAAATGATGCATTTAGTAAGAGGTATCAAAGTGCCTTAAAAAGCTTTAAAAATTGCAAGGAACGGAAGCTGGCGTGCGACTGTCAAAGTCAGCCTGTCAAAAGGGTAGCGGGTTGACGGTCACGATTTCGAAACTCACCATTTCAAAAATCGCCATTTCAAAAATCACCATTTCGAAAATCAGTATTGAGCAACAGCCCATTTCCCAGTCGCAGAAAAATCTGATTTATTTTGGCCTAGGCACTGAGGTTTAAGCGTCAATTTTACCCACTGGAAATATAGTTAATTTCATTATAGACAAAACATTTTCGATTGCATCACTATTTTATTCGAGAATGCAAGTTTTATAAGCCCGTCAAGACAGGGCCTTTTCGAAGTGGGAATTTTTCGAAATGCTGATCTTCGCAATGCTGCCTTTTGAAATGCGGATCTTCGAAATGGTGAGTTTTCGAAATGGCGTCTTTTCGAGGTTGTTTAGGATTTCCGGGGAGGGGGAGAAAAGATTTTCGGGGGGTAATGTCTCGGTTAACCGAGTAATCAAATATAAGATTTTTTCACATTGTTTTTAGTAAATTTCAGCTATATTTAAAGTAGAAAAACGTTCAAAAAAGTTCGAAAAATCTTTGACAAAAGTCGAAAATTTGGTCATCTTGGGTCTTTTTTTCGGATTTTTCGAACTAAAACTACATTTTTTAATTAAAATTTGTCTGTCCCCTAAATAGATGCCACCGATTTTATGTGCGAAATCAGCGCGAAAGTCACAAAGTTACGCCTATTTTTGGTTCTAGGTTTTCGCGAGGCTGGGGGGGCGAAACTTTTCCCGCACAAGACCAGCATTTTTTTATATACCTGCTAATTATCTACTACCAGGGTTGAAAAGCCGCTTCGCGACTTTTCAACCCTGGCCCCGTCTTACCCTAATATTTCTATCACTTTGCATAAACACCTGAATTCCTGTGCAGAAAAATCAAAAACGCGTCCTCTCCCCCATTATATAGGCTGCCCCCACTTCCGGTGTATGCTAATTGATTCCTAACAAACAGGCCGAGCTAGATTTTCACAAAAACTTAATTTTAATATCGAAAACAGCTGATTTTTACAAATCTCATATGCGTGCAGTCGTGTCATGACCATTACGCACCTAATGACGTATCATACGTACCCTTAACTTCCTCTCCTATTGAGATACGATTGGAACATACGGACGGAAGTTGCATGCAAATGCACACACACACACACACACACACACAGACACAATTTTTTTATATATACAGTGTGTGTCAAAAAAATAGGGACACCTTCTTTTTTTGCGATTATCTCGGCCCTCGTCGATTTTGGCTCGACGTTAAAGAGATGAGGACGGCATCTGTTGAACCCCCCTTGTGGGGGGGGGTTCAACAGGTCCCAGCGCGATCGGCGGCGAGAGAGGGCGCCCAGGGGAGAGGCGCAGAGACATTTTCTTTCCCGCGCGTAATCGATTGACTTATGCCGCCCCTATCCCTTTAAATAGTGGGTCCTGTAGAGCTTGAAACGGCGCATTTTTTCATATACTTGAAATACCTCTAAAATAGATGACACGATTTTTATAAGCGATAGAACAAAACAGAGCAAAAAACAGAAGTGTCATAAAGATAGGGACACACTTTACATATAATTACCATCAACTTCGCGCTTGCAAATTACATGCTAATTGCTGATACGAAGTTTTTGGCTATGCAGATTCACGATTACTCCGAAAACCCGGAAGTCAGAAATCGAGACAACTTTGAATCCTCATTAGCATGTAATTTGCAAGCGCGAAGTTGATGGTAATTATATGTAAAGTGTGTCCCTATCTTTATGACACTTCTGTTTTTTGCTCTGTTTTGTTCTATCGCTTATAAAAATCGTGTCATGTATTTTAGAGGTATTTCAAGTATATGAAAACCAGTGGAAAAATGTCCGCTTCGCGGCCCTTTTCCACTGGCCCCCGTCTAGGAACCATATAATCTCCTTCCGTTTTTCAAGCCTGCGGCGCAAGAGCCTGACTCTAGGAATGCTTCTCTGGCCTGCGGCGCTGGCTACTGGTTTTTCTCTAGCATTTGGCCTGCGGCGCGAGAGCCAGGGCCAAGGGACTTTTTTTGGCCTGCGGCGCTAGAGCGAGGGACTGGCCTAAATTTCGGATACTGAGAGTCTGGAAATAAGTTTTGTTGTTGAAATATCAAAAAGCAAAATGGTAAATTTGCCGAGGATCCGAACCCTCGACTATGGGCGTGGTAGACCGGGCGCCAAGCCACTATACCAACGGGGGCATTGGGACGGCTGGCGGGAAAGGCCTCTTCTGCCCTGGGGGTTCGGGTCACGCCCGGTCGGGGTTATTCTGGTAACTTTACAAAATTAACTTTTTTGATCTGAATGCGCCGAAATTTTGTAAAAATAATGAGATGCGCGTGATCCCCACCATCGAATACATAAGTGGTCCAAATTACAAACCGAAATTCCATCAATACTTCGAGTTATGGCCCGAACACCACGGCGCGTCACCCATTTTGTTAAGGATTTTCACTTTTTTGCTTGTAAAATTGTTAAATGAAGGAATTTCAAAAAATCCAAAAAACCGTTTTTGGCGAATGTGTTTCTTCACCTCCATGCCAAAAATCAGCGCGGTATTCGGCCTGACGGCCGAGAAACCGCCCGGACAGAAAACACACATACTTTTCTCGCTTATAGGATAGGAAATGCGCCGTTTCAAGCTCTACAGGACCCACTATTTAACGTCGAGCCAAAATCGACGAGGGCCGAGATAATCGCAAAAAAGAAGGTGTCCCTATCTTTTTGAAACACACTGTAGTATTATTAGTTAGGATATATAAATTTCTAATGTCCGTGATCCCGCCGACCGGGAATTCAGCCAAATCTTGCATTCAAATTCCAAATTAAAATTGTGGGATGCGGGGAGGCCAGCGCTGAACCCCCGCGTAGCGGGGGGGTCAGCGCTGGTTTATCTATAAATTTTTTTAGATGTGTTTGTACTTAGTTTTTAACTATTCTTTAGCCTCGAAAATTCACAAAAATTGAACGGAAAATTGCTTTTTTTCGGCTCAACATTACCAAAATTTCGACGGTTTAAAAAATTCTAGCTTTTTTGGGAGTTGCGCTGCTTCCATTCAAGTTAAACTTACTAAAAAATAATAAACACCTTATATTTGATTAGTATCGGAACCCGGATCTATAGGAAAACTTCGTTTCCCCACCCCCGTGGCACATGGCATAACTTTCGGTGGTACCATACCCGGGTATAGAGATATATTGATACCGCGCCATCATAGCTGACGTTCTTTTCGAGAAGATCTTGCATTGCATCACAGAGTCGGGAATCGCACTGAAAATGGGACGTCAGGCACGTTAGACTGCGGGAGTGGCGGTAGCTTATACAAGGCGTCCCAGAAAAATGGACCCGCCTCCAGCGGGCCGCAGTCATTGCAAAAAAAGAGCAAAAAGAAATTCGGCTTCTGAATTTATTTTGTGATCCGGGAGGAATCGAACTCGGACCCTTCGCCTGGAAGCCCTCTCTGGGGACGTGGTGATGAGTGCTCGCCTAGCAATCCAGGGGTCGCCCCCCTTCAAAAACGTTACCCCTTTTTGCTCTTTTTTGCAATCGACTCGGATGCGGATCGGATGCGAGCTATTTGCAATTTCAAAATCTGCCAGTTTTGAGGTTTTTGGCCTAGTCTGGGGGCTATTTTGGGCGCAGTAAATGCTTTATAGCGGAACTAGGGAACCGGAGGGTAAAATAAAAAAAAATACATCATTCAATGCAGAATTTTCTCAAGCATCTTTCTATAGTAAAAAGAAGTTACCCTCGGAAACCCGTAAAATAGAAAATCCAAAATTACTGTTTTAGGTACGCGAGATTCCGATGTTCCGCTCATTTTCGTGCTTCATGATGTATTAGAGAAATGATCCCCATCCCAAATTAGGTATAGTCACCAATTTTTAACCAATTTGGTTGAGTAGTTTTCGAGATTTGGAGGGTCGGCCAATTTGACTCCAATTTTAACCCCAAAAATTAACTTTTTAGACTTTCAAAACTGTGCAGCCCTACTAATTCGACCATGCTCTTTCAGATGCCGTCAAAAAAACGCTGTCGAAAAAACTGTGCCAAGCATTGTTCGGGTCTCTCGCAAACGGCCTTTTAGACATCTATCGAAAGCTCTCGGAAAGACGAGAAAACCAACACTTTTCGTTTTTCAATATCGACATTTTGATTCGCTAAATTTAGGACCAAAATCCATGAAAACTGCAGACTTTTACAAAATCAGCATGTTAATTGCTTGTTAAAGCAAATCGGACGACGCTGTTTAATAGTTTTTAAGAAATCGTTGATTATCCAGCGCGCGTTAAAGTATTTTGTAAAACCAAAAGCGCTTGTTTTCTCGCGTTTACGACAGCTTTCGAATGATGTAAACACCATGCCGATCCGACCTTTTTCCGGACCGCTTGCACGGTCAATAAAACAGGCCAAAAACGGCAATTTGCCGTGGGGGGTAAAAGCGTCAATTGGAGCCGGGCGTAGCGCGCGTCAAAAGGTTTAAGCTCTTATAACCTTTCCAAACCGACTTAATATTGAAAATCCAATATCAATTATTGCAGAGTAGAATTTTACGGTTCGAATGATACCAAAGACAGTAAGTTAGCCCTCCGAAATACCACTTTTCACAAAGTCGCCAACAAAAATCGGCTTCGTTTTGATACTTTCTGAACACAGTTTTCTTCGTGCTTGGTATCATTAGAATCGCCTCGCTCCATTCTACAATTCTCGCTCCTTCGTTAGCATACTTTCTAAATTCAGTTTTGTTAGTGCTTAGTGTCATTAGAATTACCGTGTTCCATTCTACAAGACTGGAATTTGCTTTTTTAAAGAGATGAGGACGGCATCTGTTGAACCCCCCTTGGGGGGTCAACAGGTCCCAGCGCGACCGGCGGCGAGAGAGGGCGCCCAGGGGAGAGGCGCAGAGACATTTTCTTTCCCGGGCGTAATCGATTGACTTATGCCGCCCCTATCCCTTTAAGATCGGCCATATCTTTCAAGATATAAGCCTCCAAAGTTTTGACCCCATACATTTTTGAGTCGATAGGAGCGCCGAGTCGCCTAGCCCTTACTAGTTAGACCGGCAAGATTTCGGGGCGTGGCTTGAGGGGGGCCGATTTTTTCGGACACACTGTATAATGGAGTGGGGTGTAGAGCGTGTTTTTCATGTTTTTAGGCAAAAATGTTGAATATCTCGACAAGGTGCATCGGCAAAAGCCGATTGAAGATTCGGAATCGGCGCAAAAAAAGCTGGTGTAGACGAGTTTGCTTTCATAACGAAGTCCAACTTTCAGTTCGCAACTTTCGCCTGTAAGCCTAAAAACCGCCAAACACTTTATGCTTGTGACTGTTCTCGTTCATCTCTCCGCTCCCTTGTCTATTTACTCCTCCGACCCATTTAGAGCTTGAGAACCTTGACAAACCTGTACATCGTCTAGCCAGCTACGAATTTCGATCGTCGTGATTCGAAGGCCACCCCCACCGGGGCGATGCTAAATGGGAAACTGCCATTTTCTCGCTGAACAATGTACCGTGACCAAGGCTGCCTCGAGTAATAATGCGACCACTTCGACCACCGAGTTTGAGTAATAAGGGAAGTTTAAGTGAATTGAGATTCCCGGAATGTGAGCTATCTGAAAAGGTGCAGTCAGGCTAACGGAAGATGAGTGCCGATTTGAAATTTCACCGGATTGACAGGCCTGCGGTGAATTCCGGTCAGTACGCCTAAATCCGTTTCGTCTAAACCCGTTTCGCCCGAACCGGTTTCGCCTAAAACCCGATTCGCCTAAACCCGTTTCGCGGAAAACCCGTTTCCGCCTAAAGCGGTTCCGCCTAATGTTTTGGCCATTTTCTTAGTTGAATTTTGACCAAAAAGTCGGCAATTTTCGAGATTTTTATACTTGCTTCGTACATTTTTAGAGATAGCTCTTGAAAATTTTCAGTAAAAGCCATACAATTGCCTTCGAAACGTGATTTTTACAAGCAATTTCTAGAATTATTAAAAAAACCAGCGCCCAAAACCCGCTTCGCGGGCCTTGTGCGCTGGAATGCTGCCTTTGCATGCGAAATTTGACTTTCCGATAGCTTGGGTCCTTCCTGCGACCACACCCGCGCGTGCAACTTGCAAGAATGAGGAAATTTGTATTTTTTCGCATTATGTAAAGTAGCCCTCCCTGGCGCCGGACACACACACACAAAGATACGCGACCAAATTATATAAGGTAGGATAATAAAAACACTTATATGCACTTGAAAAATTATGATTTTTGGTGGAAAATGCGGCATTGAAAAAGGTCAATAATTTAGGGGAAGCGGGTTTTAGGCGAAACGGGTTTAGGCGAAGTGGGTTTAGGCGAAGTGGATTTAGTCGAACTGGCCGTCACCCGCCTGTAGTGAATTGTCTTCTGCTTTTACTGGCTCCTTCAATCATGTGTTTAGCCCACCTGCTCAAATGCGGCGGCAAACCTCGGGTCAGCAGGGGTATCCACATCTTCTGCGACGTTATCGAACCAAATTTCCACCTATGATGTATGGATAAACAGGCAAACTCTAAAATTTCACGTGATCAGATTGTCGGGGTCGGAGACGCTCTGCCTGCAGCACTGGAATAATTTCTTCCAACGGTCTGCTATGCTGAATGGTTGTGGCCATCTGCAGCAAGCCCAGTCGATCGCGATAGATGGCTTCATTCTGAAAACAGTGTAAAAGCTCTGTCACTCTCAAAAACGACTCACCGGCACATCCCCCCTCTCGCAGTGGAAGGGAACTTCGTGCTGTGGTAACGTCGCTAGCAATCGATTCAGAAAGTCGCATTCAACTTCCGCGCTGCCCATCTCCTTTAATGCCTTCTCTTGGCAGAGTGGCGAACCAGTGTTGCTGCAAAAAAGGTACTTGATCGTTAACGGAGGGGGGGTCAAGGAGGGGTAATTTATATTTTTTCCGTCTTTTTACCTTTTAATAAGATATAATATATATGTTGAACTGTATCCCCGTATTTAACGTCATCCGAACGGGCGGATATTTTTAAGCCGGAAAAATGGAAAAAAAGAATCGAAAGCTCTCGAAAACACTAGAAAACAAGCCTTTTGCATTTTCCAGAATTTTTTAGCCTGGCCAGATCTTGAACGATTTCTTAAAAAGCGTGAAATCGAAGTTGCCGCCTAACAAGGAGACGTTTTTGAGTGACCACCAGTTTTGGGAAGGACCAAGCCCAACTTGTGCAGAATTTTGCGCTGATTCCCAATCTGGTTTACCAATTTGCTTAATCGGCATTTTGAAAAAGCTACAGCGCATTTTAAGGCGAAAATGCTTAAAATCGCAAAGTTTAGACACCTGGAAAAAGTCGAGAGAAAATATTTTGTCGAGAGTAATTAGCACATCCTGTGCAGAAAAAGATGCTCTTTCGAATGAGCTATCAAACGCAAACTTTTGGAATCCTTCCGGAAAAACCATTTCTATCGCAACGGCGCCCTACATTTTGAGGCAAGTTTTATAAAATTTTTCAAATTTTTTGTTTGATAGCTCATTCGAAAGAGCATCTTTTTCTGCACAGGATGTGCTAATTTTTCGGCAAAATATTTTCTCTCGAATTTTTCCAGGACTCTAAACTTTGCGATTTTGATGGATTTCGCCCTAAAATGCGCTGTAACTTAAGCTGCCGATTAAGCCGATTGCCTAAAATGCCGATTAAGCGCTTTCCGATCAGAATCTCGACTGACAAAATCTCGAGTAACAAAATCTCGACTAACAGAATCTCGACTGATAAGAATCTCGACTGACAGATCTCGACCGATCAGAATCTCGACTGACAGAATCTAGACTAATTAGAATCTCGACTAACAGAATCTCGACCGTTCAAAATCTGTCGAGTCGAGTCGAGATCTACCGATTAAGCAAATTTGGAAAACAAATTGGAAATCAGCGAAAAATTCTGCACATGATAGGAGGCGTGGTCATGCTCAAAACTGGGATGTCACCCAAAAACGGCTTCTTCTAAGAGTGAAATCTTCCATAAACATGATGATCTGCATAAATCATCAGCTTGTATAGTTATCGGCTTGCCGACGGCTTTCGATAGATACCGAAATCGTCAAATTCGGACAATTCTGTGGCCCGCTAGAGGGGGGAGGCGACTTTTTTGGGACCCCTGTGGTCCACGGTCCATTGTGTGGTGATACGGTGATCCCTACCCTGTAATCCAGCGAAGTGTCATCCGTCGCGTTGGATTTTGAAAATCAACAGTGATGCCGGGATCCGGAACGGTAGCCATCACGAACAACTCGCTGCCTCTCCGACTGGGCATCTGAAATGAAATTTTGCCAAAGCGCTAACTATGATTTGTCAATAAGCAGCCGATTACAACACCCTGGTATGCGAATGAGCATCAAAGTGGTGCTGTTTCGGCACACGTTTCGCAAAAGCGTGGACGAACGTTACGAGGTTCCTTACCCCATTGTCAACAGGCCCATGAATCACAATTCTCTTAAATCGTGTGCGCAACAAAAAGTGATGGGCTGCTGCTACGCGGAACACCTAAATGCGGACAGCTCATTAAATATAGGACAACGGACCTTAGAAGCACGGCGCAACCGAAACTTGTCGTCTGCGCTGACATGCAGCAGTACAACAAATTTTTGATCATCGGTCAGCGTCGGAAAATCGAAGCGTCTAGGTTGCGACATCTTGAATCGAGTTAATAAACGGAACGGCTCCGTCAGCGCTTGGAAGATTCACAGAGCAGAAGCGAAAAAGGACGTTGAATGCCAGGACAAGTGAATGGGGTCGAGTGAAAATCGACTATAGGGAGGGGTCATCCATGGCGCCTCTGCCATTGCCATTTGAAGGGTCGTGCGACGCGCGGGTTTGGTAATCGACACACTAATAAATACAAGACTGAAAATATACCACAACGGTACCTGGGATACTTTTCAAAGTTTGTTTCAAAAGGTTTAAATTTCGAGAGTTCCAGGTACATGTTGCAAAGCTGGATTTAGCGACAGGGGTGGTCATTTAGGAGCCGTTCGAATCCGGACCCTGATCTGGACCAGGATAAACCCGGGCCCCCGAAAAGGGAAATACGGGAACCACAAAGGATGACGGGAGGCGGGGACTGGTTTTCCGGCATTTTGAATATTTTCGATATTTTGAAAATGCTGTTCCATAGCGGGCTGCGAGTGTCGCGTTGGGAAGCCGTTCCGCGGGAGTTCCATACATAACCAATACTATAATAGGCATGCTTTTCTTAAATATTAGCTTTAGCAGGTGGTGAATAACCTTTACAGCGCGAAAAAGCGAGAAATTGCTTCAATTTTCGGTTTTACTAGTTATCAATGTATATCACTGGATTAAGCTACTATTTTTTTGTTAGTTTCTGCTAGCTAACGATTTAAAAAGTGTATACTAGTTTTGCTACAATATACCTGTGATTAGACAATATTTTAGACACCCAACCCTCTCAAAGACGATCGATTAACGGTATCATTCACATAAAAATAAAGCTATAGTTTCAGTCTAAGCTCCTAGTTACCTAATCTTGATATAAAAGTCTTGATTGTAACGGTTTTAAAAATAATTCTACAAAAAAATGACCTTTTGCTAGGCTTGAAACATCCCCGAGAACCGAAAAACCTAAAAGCAAAAAGTCTACCACCGAGGGATTCGAACCCTGTGTCACCTAATGCCTCTGCCGCATTGTTTAGGTTCTTACTACTTCGTTTTTGCCCCCCTTTCAGCGGCAATGAAGTGTTGCAAAGTACGGTGCTTTCGCGGCCAGGACTCGGAGCCCGAGGACGACGACGACGACTGGAGCAACGCCTACGAGATGGCCGCCATGTTGCCGAAAAAGCCCTCACAACTGTCGATGCTGCCCAAGAAGGCCTCGCAGCTCTTCACCGAGCTATTTGTTAGCGAGATTGGTACGTTTTTAGGTTTAGTAATGAATTTTATATTATTTACCACACAGGTTTGGGTATCCCTTTTTCAACGATCGACACTTGTCAACTCTTTTTTATGATTGGTTGGTTGAAAATATGATAAATAATTTTCTGGATAGCTCGAATTCATTTTGGCATACTGTTTTTATAGTTTTTGGTCATTTAGTTAGTTCAAAATTATAAAAATCTGGTTTAGCAGGGGCAAAGATCGTCCAATCAGCGGATTTGACAAGATTAGGTACCTTTCAAGCGTTTATAGTTGAAACTAGCTTTTTCCTATGCTTTTTAGTTGGTCTTATAAGTAGTTCTTGTATATAACTGCTTTAATAAGCGCCATAATATGCTAGAAAACCTTTTTACTAAGCTTTAGGGCTTTATTTGCGATACAAAAGGGCTGTCTGTCTTTTTAATAATCATTTTTTTTAGTTTCCGAAGAACAAAGCACGCAGCTGATGATGAGCCTGCCGCCGCGCTTCCAATTCAGCACCCCGCAGCTCGCATATCGCCTCACCAGTGATGGCACGTCGTTGAAGCGATTTTGGTCAAAGTAAGTGGTTTTTTACATCTAGTTTGTATGGTTCTTTTGCATTATTGGGGCAGGGGACCCAACCTGTTGTATATTTTAAAAATTTTTCCAGGATAGACGACGCCCAGCAATCGATCCTCATCATCCGCTCTACGGCCGGCGACGTGTTCGGCGCGTATTGCAGCGCATCGTGGGCCACCCGAAAAGAAGGATTGCAGGGTCATTCAAAGTAAGATTTTTCTACGATATCAGGGTTTTTTAAGGTATTTCGGCACCGGTGAGACGTTCGTCTTCCGCATCGATGACAAGGACCTCTCCGGGATGCCGGTTTGTCGTTTTTACCATCTTAAATAATGTTTACGGTTGAAGATCGTCTACAATTGGACCGGCTACTACCGCGCCGGCGCACCCGAGCTTTTCATGACGGCCACGGACGATTTGCTGATTGTAATTGCAGAAAAACCTCAATTTCTTTTGTTTCAGGTTGGCTCCGGCGACGGCGACGCCATTCGAATCTCCAGCGAACTCAGCCAGGTATTTTTCATTTTTTTCAGCCCTCTTTAATGATGTTTAGGGCTATTCTTCGCACTGCACCACGTTCAACTCGCCGCCCCTCGTCAAGAACCAGCTCTTCGTCATCGAGGAGCTCGAGGTGTTCAGCGTGGCCACGACGTGATTTGATTGAGCCCGATCGATATTTCGATTTTTCACCCCTGTACATAGCCAATATTTTTTCGCATTTAATATATCGACTTTTTGCGCTGTATTGAATTTGTTTCCGCCCGTTTTTGGCGACGCTTTTTGTTGCTCTGATTTTATCGGCATCCATTTGCTCATTGTCTTTCACGAAATATCGGGTTTTTTCTTGCGAGTCTGGCCACTTTCTGGTGTGTTGTAGATACCTATTCACTTGTTGACTTTATCGAAATAAAACTGGGCCTTTGGAGATCGTTTTTGTGCATCTTTTTACAGCTTTCGAAGCGGATCGTCCCTCTATTTGCCGATCCCGAGCCCGGAGCTGACGCCGATCGGACCAACGCCTAAAAGTGGATTTTCCGTTGTTGTGTTATAGATTTAGAAGACGCGAAAAAGCTATCTGTAGTTTTTCTCACCTGGAATCCCGATGCCCAGCCCGGAATTCACGCCGACCAGCCCGCCGTTGCCGAAACCGCCACCTCCAAAACCGCCGCCCGGGCTGCCGATTCCAGGAGCAGAGATTCCTAAAATATTACCAGTTTTAATGGCTTTAAATATGTTAAGCAGCAGACAAAAGAACCTACCTAATCCCGTGTTGACTCCAATTCCTCCCACGCCAACACCACCCCCGATGCCGATGCCACCAAGACCGCTGGCGCCATTGCCCTGCCCGGTTCCGCTGTAAAGATGCGTTTATAACCGCTATATGGCGTAGGTAAATCTATGTTTTTTTAGTTTTTATGCGTTTTTTTTTTGCGTTGTAGCGAGGATTTTGCGCTTTGTTTTCTTGACTTGGCTTTAGCTGGGTTAGCGTCAATTCCGCTGTAAAATGCTTTAAAATGGTTCGAAATACGTCCAAGCGTTTTAAAAAGGCATTTTAAACATCTTTATTTAGTTTACGGCTTTTTAAGTATATTTTTGAGCAGCTTATCAAATTTCCAGGTTAGTTTTTCTGAAACTAGGCATTTTTTAGGAACATTTCCGCTACAAAAAGAGTCGTAAAAATGTCAGATTTATGCTAAAGGTTTATTTTGGACAGTTTTTATTAGTTTCAGCTTATTTGCTGTATTTTACTGTTTAGGGCGCTTCTAGTTTAATTTTTCTCCAGATAGGCCCGTTTTACCTGGGGAACGGTTGCACTGGCGGCGGCGTTGCCAGCGTTCTGGGCCTAAAAAATGGGTAATTGTTTATATTTTTTTTAAGCCGGAAATGAAGCAGCGGTTTTTAGGGAGCTCAGCCTGGCGTACCTTGCCGTCACCTCGGCAGACGAGATTTCGGGCAGATCCTCGTTCTCGAAGCCCCAAAGTTTCGATTGTTTTATGCTAAAAATAGTTGTGGGCCAAATAGTGTGTGGTTTTTTTTGATTAATTAGATAGATAGCAATGGTTAAAAATCAGCATTTTAAATTGTGTTTTGAAAGACTCACTTTGTCTTCTTGACCTCCTCCGCCTCCCAAAGGTCCTTCGGGCTCGGCGGCTTTTTCGTTTCTCTAAAAAAACCGGCGTTGAAGTTTACAGTTTATGCTTTTCGTTTAGGTATCTAGTTTGGCTTATTTTCAAAATGTCGAAATTCAGAATGTCGAAATTCATAACGTCGAAATTTCAGAATGTCGAAATTTCATAAGGTTGAAATTTCAGAATGTCGAAATTTACATAGGCCAATATTCTCGGTGAAACCCCCGAAAACTATGCAAAAAAAATTCGAGATTCTGAATTTCGACATTATGAAATTTCGACATATTTTCGACATTATGAAACTTCGACATTATGATTTTCGATGTTATGATTTTCGACATTATAATAGCAATTCATCTAGCTTGTACACTTAAAGTACAGAATTTGAAACTTTGAACGCCAGAAAAATTTACAAATTAATCCTGTCGTCCTCGCTGCTCTCCGGCTCGACCGAGTCGAAGTCAAAGTGGAACTTTTTGCGGTGTCGCATTGAATGATCCTGAAAAAGATTGAATTTTGCGCGGAAAATCCGGCACTTTTGCATTTTCGTATTATTGGAATTTTAGATCGTATTTTTCACAAATTGCCGGTTTTTTTATCGTAGCTTTTTTATGTTTCGAAAGTCTGCCATTTTTCCTAAAAGGGCAGAAACTACTAGTAATGTAATATTAATATTTTAATCGTGTTTATAACTAGATTTAACTGGATTCTAGTTAGGGAAAAGCTATCTCAAAGGTGATTTTTACATTTTTTGAAAATTTGAAATTTTGGTCGAAAATTCTATATTTTTTGTATTTTTAATAGCATTTTGTAAAGTTTTCAAGCTTAGGAATAGTAAAGCCCAGTTTAGAATTTAGCGATCTCCCCCCGTTAATGGAAAAGCTCCCCAAGTTTTGCAAAATTGATAGTATTCTCTTTTTCTTACCACTTCAGTATGATGCGGGCCCCAGTAGCTGCCACCCTGCGGGTCCGAGTTCTCCCATCCGTTCGACCATTTGCCGTTGTAGCCGGCGTAATAATTCACTGAAAACGGCAGATTAAAGGGGCTGGTGAACCGGTGAATCGACCCCTACATCGACTAGGTCTCGACAACTACAGCAATGACAACTAGACTACAGGGTGCCCCAATAAAAAACACCCCCTCTAACTCGACGCAGACGTATCGGATCGGAACGATAGTTACACCATTGGAAAGCCCTTGAAACGGCCAGTTTGCAACAATCTTCAAAATCATTTTTTTATTTAAATGCGCCACTTTACAAGCCATTTTGTAAAGTTTTGCAGTTTTTTGGGGTTGTATCCGAGCTAATTTGCCTCAATTTCTTCAAGCAAAACCAGGGTTGAAAAGCCGCTTCGCGACTTTTCAACCCTAGCCCCGTCTCATCCCAAGATGTTATTCATTTTGCATAATTGTGCCCGAATTGCGAAGACAAAAAAATGAAAAACACTCCCTCCATCCCTTTATATAAGCTACTGGAACTTCCGGCGGATGCTAATTGTTTCCTAACAAAGAGGGCGTCCGAAATTTTTAGAAAATCTGAAAATTAATGTTTAAAACAAATGATTTTGTGAAATCTGATAATCGTGCAGTCCTCCCAAAGCCCTTACGAACCTAATGACGTATCATGCGTACATTAAATTTCATTCCCTATCGAGATATCCTCCGGACATGGTGACGGAAGTTGCAGGCAAAGTGGCACACACACACATACACACAGACACTATTTTTTTATATATCAAGCAAAATGACCGAAAGGAGCCGGTAATTAGATGCAGAGGCCAATTCTTAAGGGTTGTTGAAGATTGTTGCCATCTCGCCGTCAGGTTTCAGAAAATTTCTCATGATCTCTAGTCCTTTTTTTGGAAGGGAAAAAGCGTGAATGTCAAAATTTTGACGTTTGTTCTGGAATCCTCATGCTACAGTGCGTGCCAAAATGATAGGGGAATGGCGTTTTTAGCTGTTTTCTCGGCCGTCCTCCATTTCCGTGTAATACAAAATCATAGGTCTTATAGCCCGAAAAAAGACGCGTCTTTTGGTCTACTTGAAATCTCTTTATGCCAAAAGATCACGTTTTTAGAAGCGAATGTATAAAAATCGGTAAATAACACAAGTGACAAAATGATAGGGGAATCATTAACATATCATTTCCATCAACTTTCTGTATGAATAGTGGATGTTGATTGATTTTAATTACAGATTCATAGCGGGAGAAGATGTAAAAATCGTATTTTCTGGCAAAATTCTGACCGGAAGTCGACGGTCAAATTTTGCATCTAATTAGCATCCCCTATTCATACGGAAAGTTGATGGAAATGATATGTTAATGATTCCCCTATCATTTTGTCACTTGTGTTTTTTCCCTATTTTTATATAATCTATTGTAAAACTGTTATCCTGCATCGTAGAAAGATTTCGAGTAGACCAAAAGATGCGCATTTTTCTGGGCTACAGAGCCTGTCATTCGGCTTTACGGCTACATAAAGGGCCGCCAAGAAAACGACCAAAAACTTCATTCCTCTATCATTTTGGCACACACTGTATTTTGATGATGCTGTCGTTTTAATTATGACAATTGACCAGAGAATCACCGAGATCGGGAGATAGGGTGCCTACAAGGCATTACGGCATGTAATCGCCGTGCACTCAAAATGTCGTTTTCGCCCCCCAAACATTTCGTTTTTTTTTCTCAAAGATTTTGCGTTTTTCGCAACGCAGCCAATTTTCTGGGGGCTTTTCGGGCTTTTTTTTGACGCGATTTTGACTTCCAAGCCCCTTTCAAGAGGCTTTGAAGGAATTTTCTAGGGCCCACCGGATGGTCCGATCGCTCCTCCACGTCCATATCCGGAATATCCGTAGCCGGCAGCGGACATACCACCACCGCCTCCTCTGAATTTTTGAAATTAAAAAGTAGACTAAATGCTGTCAAAATAAAGAACATCAATGGTTTCAAAAAGCACCCAAAAACCATCGATTTTCAAAAATTCCGAAAAATTCCGAGAAAAATCCAAAAATTTGGATTTTTTTGGTACTGGGTTGTTAGTGTGGGGGGGGCAATTTTCCCCGGTAACCCAGTACCGCCCCATAACGACATATAAATAATTTTCATAGCATTTTAGATAAATTTCAGATACCAGTACAGATTTTTCTACCGTTTCCCTCTCAGTTTGCTTCAACTTTTTTCGATAATCTGTCGCGGTAGTAATATTCTTAAAAAATACCCGTAGCAGGGAGCCTGATCCTGGAATCCTTGTTGCGCCTGGACGAACGGTCTAAAGGGACGTAAAATTCCGAGAAATTCCAATTGACACCCACCTACAGTACGCCGGGCAATTGCACAGGCTTTGGCCGAGGTATTGTGAGCAACTACTGGCAGTTCCTGAAAAATCACCAGGTTAAATCTGAGCAACTTCTCCATTCCCAAATGATCTCTGCTAGCCTGCCCCCTTCCATTCCCAAATGATCTCTGCTAGCCTGCCCCTTCCATTCCCAAATGATCTTTGCTAGCCTGCCCCTTCCATTCCCAAATGATCTCTGCTAGCCTGCCCCTTCCATTCCCAAATGATCTCTGCTAGCCTGCCCCTTCCATTCCCAAATGATCTCTGCTAGCCTGCCCCTTCCATTCCCAAATGATCTCTGCTAACCTGCCCCCTTCCATTCCCAAATGATCTCTACTAGCCTACCCCTTCCATTCCCAAATGATCTCTGCTAGCCTGCCCCTTCCATTCCCAAATGATCTCTACTAGCCTACCTCTTCCATTCCCAAATGATCTCTGCTAGCCTGCCCCTTCCATTCCCAAAGGATCTCTGCTAGCCTGCCAGTTAGCTTTAAGTAACTTACCAAACGTAGCTGAAGTTAGTGGCAATAATAATAACATAGAAATACTTATTAACAATATCATTTTAAGGTCCGATTATCTTAGAAATATAGCCTGAAATTTTGAGTAGTTTCTTGAAGAACTCCAAGCAAAATTGTGAAACTTCTTGTGCGAAAATATCAGGATGAAATCGAGTCCCGGAAAAGTAGTGAGGATGGCTATTTTCAATCCGAAAGTTTTAGGAGATCCTGAGAGAGAGAGAGAGAGAGAGAGAGAGAGAGAGAGAGAGAGAGTCAGGGAAAGGAAACATTTTCCTTTTTCGGGATAAACCTCGGGATAATTTGGGAAACGCGAGGCCGGCAACCTTGGATTTTGCGACATTGATAAGCAGTTTTTCTTGTGATGTTGTTTTCTCTCTCTTCTCTCTCTCTCCCTCTCTCTCGCTCTCGCTCTGGCTCTCTCTCTCTCTGTTGATCAACATCAGCTTTCATCAGTTATTCGTTTATTCCTCAATTCGAAAATCCTAATTACTTACAAAAAGCACAAGCGTTAAAGTACAGACTACAAACATCACCCGAGTAGTGAACAAAGCGATCACCAGGCATTAAAATATTCAATTTTCCGACACTGCAATACAAAAACACTCAATATAATGACGAGAGGGCGACCCGTAAGCCTCAAAAATTGCATCTTGGTCTCTTCATTAAAGTATCCATGGCCGGGGGAAGATCGGGATTTGTTAACAAGCGGAAACGGCAGATCAAAGGGGTTTAAAGGGACCTGGAAGCGAGAATTTTTGAATTTTCAACAAAATTACGAAATTCACAAAACGAAACGAAGTCACGAAAAATCAGGCGCAAAAATGAGTTTTAAAGGGACCTGGAAGTGGTGATTTTCATGTCGTAATCGATTATCCAAAGCCAAAAAATTGAGGATTCCAGTGAAATACACAACTTCTGACTTGCAGGTACCTTTAAAAAGCAGGAAAATGAAGGTTATGAGCATATACAGTAAGCTACAGTATACCAAAGTGACAAAATACGGAAAATGTCATAATTTCCTAAAAGGAGGGAGAGCGAGAGAGCGGGAGGGAGCGGGAGAGAGGGAGAGCTAGAGCGAGAGACAGAGAGATAGAGAGAGAGAGAGAGAGAGAGAGAGAGAGAGAGCAAGAAAAAGCTGCAACTCTTAAGCTTGAGGATAGTCTTCATAAGCGATGCACTGCGGGTTGATCAGCTGCTCCTCCCCAGGCTGACTGCACGCAGAAGCCTCATCAGTCAGCGCCTGCTTCCGCATCCGGTAGACGTCGAACATCGCGTTCCGCTCCGGGGCCAATAGACACGTGGCTAGGAGACAGAGACAGAACATCTCGCACAGGATCACGAAGTTGCAGACGACTAAAAACTTGGGTTTTGCAATTTTTTTCAGTTTCCTAAATAATCCCTGCTAGGCTGCCCTACTTCTGCTTGGCAGGAATTTCTTCAAGAATCTCTGCTAGTCTGCCCTTTCGAGAAACTTACATCTAGCATTGTCCACAGCCGGCAGCAACGGTCCGCATTTGATCAGATCGAAGCTGGAAATTGAGAAGTTGATGGGCGAGAGAACGAGAGAGAGAGAGAGAGAGAGAGAGAGAGAGAACAAAATATTCTAGCTGGTAGCTTACCGGAGCAGCACATTCTCAAAAATCATCGGTTGCTGGGCGGAGAAGAAGAGGAAGGAGACGTCAACGAGTCGGAAGATGGTCATGAAGCAGTAGTCGCGCAGTTTGTACTGAAATGGAATTAATCGCTATCAGGCTCTCTCTCTCTCTCTCTCTCTCTCTCTCTCTGGCTTACCGCAGTTGCTCGGGCCATCGTATGAACGCCGAAAATCGCCAGCAGGAGCGAGAACACGGTGCCCATATCCGAGTAGTGGAGCCAGCTACAAAATGAAGTTTTAGTAGCTCTTTGCTTCGGTTTAGGCTTAGGATTAGGATTAGGATTAGGTCAGGCTTAGACTTAGGCTTCAGAGCGGCTTAGGCTTAGGTCTAAAATGTTACGTTTTGGCAGCATCTCGGAATTCAGCTATCGCAATCACGTTGGTGACGATGGCGATGGCTCGGACGATCGGGGCTTGGAGAACAAGCCACTCCAAACGACGCAGGTTACGTCTATAAATCTATTGTAAAAAGCGAGAGAGAGAGAGCGAGAGAGAGAGTGAGTGAGAGAGTGAGTGAGAGAGATAAAGAGGGAGAGGGATAAATCTTGAAACTTACTCGGTACTCGGCGCCTTCGGCAACCAAAAGCACACACAGCAGAATGGCGGCGACTTGAAGTCGATGGGGCGGTTGTCGTAGCTAAACGCGGGGTTTTACGGTCCATTAAAGGTCAATATATAGCAAAATACATAGTGAATGCAATTTTCAAGGTGAATTCGGTACAAAATCTCCGCTAGCTTGCCCACCTCAACGTCGTCGAGATCTCCACCCGCCCGCCGTACAGATTCCGGCATAGGGAGACGACGACAAAGAGACAAATCAGGTAGTACAGCATTCCTAATGACGTCAACACCAAGGAGGTACGTGGGGCGAGCATGCCGATCAGGCAGCAGCCGGTGGAGACCTGGAAACTAAGCCTAATCCAAGCCGAATTCAAGCCGAAGCCAAGCCGAAGCCGAGCCTAAGCCTAAGCCTAAGCAAGGTCTAAGAGAAGCTTAAGCTAAGCCTAAGCTAAGCCTAAGCCAAGCCTAGGCCTAGGGCTATCCCTAGCCTAAGCCTAGGCCAAACCTAATCCAAGCCTAAGCTAAGCCTAAGTCAAGCCTAAGCCTAAGCCTGCTACGCCTAAGCTAAGCCTAAACCAAGCCTAAGCTAAGCCTAAAGCAAGCCTAAGCTAAGCCTAAACAAAATCTAAGCCCGAGCCTAAGCTAACATGTAAGCCTAACCTAAGCACCAGCTTAAGCCCGACCTACCGGAAACAGCGTGATCAGCCAGTACAGCTTATTCTGTCGCTTCTCATTCGACACGTATCTCCACACAAATGACCAATGTACTAATGCGAGCAGGTAGACGACAATGGTGAAGGCGGCCCCGATTGATAGCATCACCACTTGGTGCGTTTGGAGGTCTGAAAAAGTTCGAACTCCTCAAGAACCTCTGCTAGCTTGCCCTTGCGCGTGATTTTCCGCAAGAATCTCTGCTCTGATAGGAAGCCGAATTGAAAACCCACTGCTCAAAAATTCGAAGGCTGATGGCGACTCCTGGCTGTCGGAGCAATTCCAGTGATCCGCCGCCAGGTGGTCGGCCACGTCGAGGAAACTGTGGATCTCGTTGCTCGTTCCCTCCATTCTGAAGGACTTTGATATAGGAGAGAGAGAGAGCGAGCGAGAGAGACAGGGAGAGAGAGAAAGAGAGAGATAAAGAGAGAGAGTGCGAGAGCGAAAGAGTGACAGAGATAGAGAGAGAACGAGAAATCTAAAAAGTTGATATCTTCCTCTAGAAGAAATTTCTAAATCTTAGAGATTTTTTGGTAGGCAAGAGGGCGAGAGGGGCAGCGAGAGAGCGCGAGAGAGAAAGTGAGAGATAACGACATAGAGAGAGATACAGAGAGCAAACCAGAGCAAAAGTAAGCCGTGAGAACCCGGACCTCCCAAAAAAATCATGAAAAATAGCCCGGATTTCACCTAACAGCGTAAATAGAACTGTCACGGGATCATGAAAATCAAAAAAAAATCCCGAAAAAATAACGAATTTTATCTCTACATTAATGCGTGAATTATGCGCAAATTCCCTGCCAATCAAAAACAGGCGTTTCCCGTATAGCTGCCATATGTTTTTGGCCGCTTTCTAGTGCCCCTATTTTTTGCCGAAATGGACCACTCGGGAGGCTTATCAGCCCAGATGGCTGAAACCCCTCGGCTGGTCGGATCAAGAATTCAGCACAGATCAAATAGGACGAAACGAGCAACAAAATCCATGTAAATTTTTAAAGCTACTAAAAAGTGCGAGAATCGACCCCTTCCGTGGACTGGGTCTAGACGACTACGCGGGGCGTAAAGAACGCGGATCTAGCGTATAGTTTTTGCACAAGGATGCACGCGTCTATGAGATATAAGAAAGACGCGTTTTTGGAGTGCCGCGTAGCGGTCAAGACCTAGATGATAGTAGGGGTCGATTCTCGCGCTTCCTAGTCCCTTTAAGATCAAAAAGGGCGATTTAAGACGATCGAAACACGAGTTAGAATAAAAATACAGTAAATCTCTAGCAACTGAGACAATTTGTCAGAACATTCGCTTTTCCGGACGGTTTTAGACGTTCCAAAAAGCGCCTTGTGTTCGCCAAAGTTCTGATTCAGGTCGTGATTCAGATTTGCATACGGGCGGGAATAGACAAAAAAATGGAACTTTGAAAAAGAAAATTTAAGAAAAAAATCGGTAAAAAGAACAATGGTAAGATTGCAATCTGAAGGAAAGTTGCGTAAGCCAAGCCTAAGCCTAAGCCGAAGCCGAAGCCTAAGCCTAAGCCTAAGCCTAAGCCTGAGCCTAAGCCTAAGCCTAAGCCTATGCTTATAGTTAAAACTTCAAACTATAGACTCCATAACGAAACCAGAGGCTGAACATGGAAATGTATATCGCAGGGCCGAAGGGACCAATAAAAAAGCCAGGGTGGGCGAAAATAGCCAAACAATCGGGTTATGTGTGTGGAAACCGCGTCGATTATGAGTCATCTCTCTCCCTGTTTCTATCTCTCGCGCGCGCTCTCTCTCTCTCTCACTCTCTCTCGCCTGCCATTAACATATTTTAAGTCAAGTAATTTTTTAGCTAACAAAATCTACTTTATTTGCTCATAAAATTCATTTTTCATCGCTACCCCCACGTTTTTTGGGGGTTCGGCCCGAAAAATTGTGTTTATTCTGGGCTCAAATTTCCCCCAGTTTCGCCACGCAATTTCAAGTGCAAATTTAACGACGTCAAAGCGTAGACGAAAGGTCAAAAAATTTACTGAAAACAGGCGTTAACGACAAGCGAAGGGCCAAAAATCTCTGCTAGTTACCCGGGAAATAATTCCTAAAGTATCTCTGCTAGCCTGCTCTGTCCTAAGGAATATCTGCTAATCCCACCCCTTCCATTCCCAAATGATCTCTGCTAGCTTACTTAACATTTATCAATCTAAACAAACAAAAATTCTAAGAAATTGTGAAAACACTCTGAGTCAGAGCTCTCAAACCCTTCAAAAAGTAGAAGTCGATCAGAGCGTGTGCGATTTCTTGGGCAATGTTGGCATAAGAGGGCCGTACTCCGGGGGCATACTCTTTACTCGGGGTGTTTGGCATTCAGAAGAGAGAGAGAGAGAGAGAGAGAGAGAGAGAGAGAGAGAGAGAGAGAGTGAGAGAGAGAAAGAGAGAGCACCGAGAACATGGGAAACCGCCGGGACCAGCCGGCAACCAAGTGCCCAGGTAAATAATACCAGCCACGGCCACCTCTAGGGAGCGAGAGTGAGGGAGAGAGAGAGAATTAAAGAAACAGAGACAGAGAGGGCGAGAGAAAAAGAGTAAATTTGAGCCCAAAGAACCGGGCTAAGGGTCGAGATGAAAAACCTATATTGAAGGCTAGGTCGGGCTGGACTTTTAAGGGATGGAGCCAGGTAGAGAGAGAGAGAGAGAGCGCGAGTGGGAAAGAGAGAGAAAGACATAGAAACACAACGAAGCATAAAGAAAAACCATATTTCAGCATCGAAGAATTCCGTTGCCATACTTTTTTCACTGCAGAAAAAGTGTACTAGGCAACCATGGGGGGATTCTGGAATCCAGGAGCGCCGTATCCACGACAAATCCCAGGAAAAAGCCCCTTCAAATTGGCCACCGGATGGCGGGGGGGGGGGGGGGGGGTGAAGCCTTACATAGCTTGCCCTTACTGCGCGGAAATTGCTCTCAGGGGGAAATTACATAATCGCTGTTGTCATTAGGTGTGGCAGGTAATTTTGAGAAGTCTAGATTTGCGAAGATATGATTCCAGAAGCTGCGGGTGAGGGGTAAGGACTTGCTTGGGAGTATGCTTCGTCTCAAGGTTAGGCTTAGCTTTGGACTTACAAGGAGACGTTTTTGAGTGTCGTTGGGACTTAGAGATCAAAGCAAGTCTATCTTGTGCAGAATTTTACGCTGATTCCGAATATGGTAACCGTTTTTGCGGAATAGCCATTTCTCGAAAGTTATGAACGATTTAAACCTCAAAACAGCCCAAAATCGGCTACTTCCGATAGTCATAAAAGGCTTCAAAATAGGTTTTAAACAAAACCAGATAGTATATCTTGTTCAGAAAAAAATTCTCTATAAATGCACCATCTTTTCCAAAATCATTGAAAAGTTGGAAAAATTTGATAAATTGGGAGGTCCATAATTTTACAAAAATTTTCAAAATTACAGTATTTTTGAGTTAAGTAGCCTATTGTATAGAGAATTTTTTTCGGAACAAGATGCACTATTTGGTTTTGTCTAAAACCTATTCCGAAGCCTTTTATGACTATCGGAAGTAGCCGATTTTGGGCTGTTTTGAGGTTTAAATCGTTCATAACTTTCGAGAAATGGCTATTCCGCAAAAACGGTTACCATATTTGGAATCAGCGAAAAATTCTGCACAAGATAGGCTTGGTCCCGTGCCAAAGTCCCGACGACACTCAAAAACGTCTCCTTGTTAGACTTGGGCTTAGACTTTGGCGTAGTCTTAGGCTTGGTATAGGCTTGGCTTAGGATTGGTTTAGATTTGGCTTAGGTTTCGCTCAGGCTTGGCTAAGGGCTAGGCTTCGGCTTTTTTCAAAAGGGCTGACCCAGACAAAAAAAAGCTGACCTGACTGAGCTACCTGGCCGCTGAGTCAATAATGAGCCAGCCGGCCTTATCAAGCTTGCAATTGGGGTTTGGCATTTTTTGATGAATCATTTTTGATAAAAGCATATTTTGGAGTATCAGCTTGCTAAATATGATATGGGTAACGTAGTCTTAAATCACAAAACATGACGGGGAAAATTCGACGACAAAAAAAGGTTGGAATTCATTAGGAAAACAGCTAGCAGAGATTATTTAGGAAAGGGCAGGCTAGCAGAGATTCTTCAGGAATAGAGAAATTCCACCTCTCACCCGGCTGAACCGTGTGACTTTTTTTCTGGGCTCGCAAAAGCATATTTCAGGCGTGACTGGGGGGGGGGGGTGAGAAAACAAGCATGACGCCTTCTCGGTGGGTCCGTTTTATGCCCACTTGCGTACTCGATACAAGACTCAGAAGAGAGAGAGAGAGAAACGGGCCGGAGAATCAAACGGATCATCTGTGTTTATTTTGGGGGTGGACCCGGTTATGGGAATCGGCCGGAAACGCGGCTTCGATACTGTGATTGTTTGAAATTCCTAAAGAATCAATGATAGCCTGTTTCCTAAAGAATCTCTGCTACCTTGCCTTTTAAACAATCTCAAGTGGAGTCACAAAAATGATATAGCCAAAATCATATGACCATATGGTGAATGATAAAAGTAGGCATCAAAAAACGAGAGAGAGAGAGAGAGAGAGAGAGAGAGAGAGAGAGAGAGAAACAAAGCCTAGGCCTTTCGACAGATCAATCAAATCGCAGGAAGTCAATCTCCCCTCCCGGTCAAGAGGGGAGGAGGAGGAGGAGGAGGTGGAGGCCAATATCAAACGGGAACATCTTTCAATTGCTTCGGCGTTCTCTCTATCTTTCTCTCTCTCTCTCTCGCTCCCCCTCTCTCCCTCTCTCTCCTCTCTCTCGCTCTCTCTCTCGATCTCTCCCGAGCTCGAAAAATGTTCCTTGTTACAAGAAAATCCGAAAAAACGCATTGAAGCTACAGTAATCTAGTTAGGGCGGGCCAGGCTAGCAGAGATTTTTTGGGAGCTATCATTACTCCGGAATGTCAACTAGCAAATACCCTGAGTCGAGCCTTTGAGTCCAGGTTCGAGACCTAGAGATGCTAGCAAAGGCCATTGTGGATTCAGGCAAGTGGTGAGTGAGTAGCGGAGATGATTGAGGAAATTTATCAAGATTTAGCAAAGTTCAAGGCAGGCTAGCAGAGATAATTTAAGAATTGATAATCCAGGTTGGAAGACAAAAAAATGTGCCTGGACCTTGCTGGCCCCACGGGACTCCACCAATCCGCTGTGCACATGCAGCAGGTCGCTTCCGGAGGGAGAGAGAGTGAAAGAGAGAGAGAGAGAGAGAGAGAGATAGAGAGAGAGAGAGAGAGAGAGAGAGAGAGAGAGAGGGAGAGAAGGAGATAGAGAGGGAGAGAGCGAGACCGGGAGCAAAAGCTGCCGTTGGCAAGCCACGGGGCGTGGACAGGCCGCAGAT